GATTACTGTGTTACACACTGTAAATGGCAGGAAGTACATTTTGTTCTTCCAGAAGGATTTCAGTTTTGTACTTGGCTTTCTATGTGTTGAAAGTGTAAGTGGAGGCAGCCTACTTCAGAATTACCTTCTAAAGCTTTTGTGGTTGTGATTTGACAGTATATTCTTTTCTATGCATTAAGGGCTTATTCTTTGATTCTTCTGCTTTAAAGGAATGAACTAGGACAAGCTTTTTTTGGTATAATCATAACTTCGGGTTTTCTTGCTTTACTTTTAATCATGTTATTTTTAACCTGTATTCTTCCCAATCTAATGACAAACATGATTCTCAAAATTGGATTGAAATAACTCAAGTAAATAAACATGTAATAAATGAGAATACTACAAAAGCCCATCCTTAAGAAAAGGCAATGATTGCCTTCAAATACAAATCTAACTTTGATACAAGGAAGTGCAGTTTGCAAGAAAGAATAAGAAGCTTCTGGCATACAATGGACATTCTTAGCTGAGCATTGCTTTGTAAAGGTAGGTCTGGACAGCTTTGAGGAGTCTCAGCCCTAATAATACAGTTGTCACAGTACAACTGTTAAAAAAAAAAACCCAAAAAACCAAACCATGTAAGATTTAATTTTTCCCTTTAGATGACTGCATTTGCTATAGCTAAAGTCACTACTTGGATATGTATGGTAGATGCTGATTGGAGCAAAAACACAATTATTGTTGAAGCCTCTGAAGCTGAAGGTTGATGAACTAATTCTCCTCAGAGGAAGGCTGCATTCTTCACTCGGAAATGATAGTTGGTGGCTCCTGTAGGCTAGGGCTTCTACCATTAGTGAAGATACATTGGGTGTTCAGTGTGGTGCAAAAATAGTTACAGTTTGGATATTTGCATTATGCTTTCTTCCTTTCATTCCAGTACAAAAATCTGTAGCTATATAAGAAATCACATTGATTTGAGTATGATATCTTACATGTTGCTTTGGAAAGTACAGGCTGTCAAAATGCAAAATGGTCTGGAATAGACCAGTAGAGGAAAATGCTTCAAAATTTTTTTCTTTCTGCATTTTTTTTTTTAAAGTAAGTTGTATATATAAGTGCTTAACTGCTTAGTAAAATTTTATATTTGAATATTATATTTAGTAACTAGTGTGGCTGCTTTGTGCTTTGTCATTATGTTAAGAATTCACTTTAGCAAGTGACAAACTTAAGTACAAACACTTGAGTTTGGCAATGGTTAGGTCAAAACATTTAAGTCCTTAATTAGATGGAACAGAGGCAAAAAAAATTACAAGAGTGAAGAAAAAAAAATCTCAGTTTTACAAAATGCAGCTGAATTCCTTCATGTTAATTTTTAATACTTCAGAAAGGAGGGCAGTACTTCAGTCAGGGGTCTGACAAGCTTGTCATTTGCAAATAAATCAAAAGACGATCGTTACAACAGCAAGAACCAGTAAATGGTGTAGTTTTGTCATTCTTTGATGGGCCCCACACTCAAGTCCTCTATTAAAAATGAATGTATTCAAGAGGCTCTGCATTAAGAACACAAACAATTAAGGGTACTTCAGATGCTTTACTAAGAGCTGCCATAGAGCTAGGAGGGCTTTCATGAGAGATGCAGGCTTCTACAGTCTGCTTTACTGAGGAGCCAAAGAACATGGGCAATTAGTCATCTTTGTCTATGCTCAAGCAGCTTTCTGCAAAATTTTCTTTATTTAATCATTCTTCTGACTGCCCTACATGTCTCAAGATCAGCAGTTAGATAATAGCTATGTTACATTGGGAGGCCTCTAGAAGGCTTTCCTAGGCTTCTCCAAAAAAGGTTTTTTGCTCTCAAGAGTGAAAGTATATATATATATATACACACACATGCATGTGCATACATAGTCAAAGATATTTCACCTTGAAAGGTGCCTTCTGAACAGCTAGATTTATATTTAAAGCTCCTTTTTCTCAGTTCCGAAGTCAGCCTCTTGCAACTCCCAATGGGCAAGATTAGGTGAATTATGTGTTAAAACCTAACTTTCACAACTGATTAGATAACAAAAATATTTTTTAACATGTTTGGGAATAAGAATGGTTTTTATTAAACATTTGAGGGCAGCAAGCAGAAGGTGTATAAAATATCATGGTGGATAAATAATTTTAAGTACTTTATTTAATTGTGTGTGGGGAAATAGCACTAGTAGGCAAACTGCCTTTTAAATGTAAGCAGACTTTTGTTGTGAGTAAATGTCTCTTAACTGGCACTTGTAACAGCAGCAAGAAATCTCAAAATAAACTTATTTATGGCTTGTACATTTAAGTTTACCTAGCACTGTGGATGAGTATTAAGGATGTTCTTCATATATGATCATCAGTGATGCCCTGCTTTGTTAAAGACAAACTCAGAAGAATACATTTTTTTCAGTTCTGATATTAAGTCTGGTGTGATAGCACTGAGACAGTAATTTTAAAGTAAGATTGATTGGGAAAAGGAGAAAGTTAATTATGTCCCCTTTTTTTTTTTTTTGTTAGAAAATGAATAAAAATCTAAAAAAAACCCTTAACCTTTTTTGGAACTTTTAATTATTGCATGGTGTTGCATTCTCTTGTCTTACTGTGTTCTTGTCATACTGTCATTCTCTGCTGTCATGTATGCTACGTTATTACAGTGAAGCTCAGATGTTTGGGACCTGTGCAGGATAACCTAATAATGCAGACAATTCATGTGTTTTATAGGCTTTAATGATTTTTTTTTTATTATTTCTTAAAACTACAATAAGGATACTTACCTCAATCTCAGCATTACAGAATAGGGAGACTTTTGTGTAGGCCAAAGAACTTTTCTGTAGAAACCAAATTAGTTTCTTATTTTATTTTTTTTCTTTCCTCTCTTATCACCTGCTATGATTCATCCTGGCTTCTGTCCTGAAAACAAAGGTAATCCCATTGTTTGAGGGCAATTAACTTTTTGAACCCTTACTGTCTTAGCTAAATATCAGCCAACCTGGTTGCTATGTAACTGACTTTTCTTGCCCTAGCTGACATACCTTGCTTTCTGGAGAGGCATACTAGGTATGTGGGAAAATGCCCTTTAGTCCAGGTTCTGTGGTGGTTTGGTGGGGTTTGTTGGGTTTTGGGGGTTTGGGTTTTTTTAATTTTTGTTAACAAACATTGAAAGTACCCACAGATTTGGTAATAGTTAAGTCTGATAACTGGTAATAGTTAAACTGGTAAATTCTTTGTATTGCCTTTGCTGGTATGTATGTAGTACCACTACTAAAGGCCCCACACAGAATGATGGGTATCTTATGCCTGTGGCCCAAAGGGAACAGAAACAGACAGCTGTGGTACCGTGTGAGATGGTAGCTGTTTCTGTTGAGAACAGAGACCCAAGACCAGTTCCCCTTATTATGAGGAGAGAAAGGTTTGCTGTAAAGCAACTGTCACTTCATTGCCCTTATTTAAGGGGAACCTTTTTGTCCTAGAAGAAATCATCCCAGAACTGCTTCAGAGGCTCTTGGCTCTTCAGAATTTCAGAGTGGATGGCTTAAATGCCAGACTTAGGTCAGGTGGGGTCCTTCACCTTATTTCAGAGAGACATGGGGTTTTACAAGTCTGAAGTGCTATCAGGCATTTTCCCAGTGTCTGTCAGAGGTAGGTAAAGAAGTGTTAAAGCTTGCCAGTTGTATTTAGATCCCAAATTACTCGTTTGCTGAGACTCAAAATCAGAGGGTCGATTTTGTATCCTAATTACTACTTGATTTATGTATAAGGATGTGCACGTTGCAGTGTCTTCCTGAAAAACTGGGGATGATGGGAAGGCTTAGGGAAAGGCTTGGCAGATGAGTTAACAATGTGACTTCCTGGAAAGAGTTTATATTTGCTCAGGTTTATGCATGGAAGGCCTAATGATTCTCAGCAGGGATCTCTTGTTTCTTATGACTTAAAATAAAAACTGAAGAAATATCTATACGGATAAATGATTTGACAGAGACTGACAGGAGCTGTTCAGACTGTCTTGTATGTAGGCTGTGTTCACATCTGGAGGCTAATGTTGGTTTTGTGCAACAGTGCTATGGTAACTGCAGGAGATGTTTTAAGGAAAACTGTAGGAGTTGTGCAAGACCTTCAAGGGTTAATTATAATGGTGGTTCTGAATGATGGGCAGATGTATAGGTCTGACAAACTGTAAGCACAGGTAAGACTGAGTAATGAGAAAAAAAGATCCCTGTACCCCTCTAGAAATCCTGTGTTCAAGTTGACATGCCAAAAGTGGGAGATCCATAAAGCTGTTGAAAGGTGGGACTCAAACACTTCATCCTGTTGTCTTCTCTGCTGATTTCAGTGAAGGACTGTTCTGTTCTCTGCTGGTTCCTAGCCTTATTGTTCTCCTGTTACTCACAGTTTCACTAACTTGTTGTTATTGACTACCACATTTTTCCAATCTGATTCTTCCGCTAGTCTGCATTATTTTAATTCTCTCTCAGTATGAATGTTAGAAGTCTGTACCTTTTATCTCCATTCTGCCTTACTTCTGTTTTGGTATTTCATTTGTACTCCTGATGGTGCGTTTCTGTCAGCAAAACTGATTTTACCTTCTAATAGGCAGATAAAATTGATCATGAAAGAAACGTTTTTCTTCCATGCCTGTCACCTTCATGGTATGCTGCTTGGTAATTTGAGTAATAATAAATCTACCTTTTAAAAGGCTTTATCCTGGACTTAATGGATTTCAAAAATGCTTTACTTGTTAATGAGTTAAGTACAAGGACCAGATTTGTGCCTAAATGTGTATACAGATTAGGTGCTTTGGACATGGCAGATGTCCTAGAGTAGCTAGCTAAATCTCTGTCCTCATCTGGGTTTATTTGTATATTAACTATTTATATTTGCAGGAGTATGAAGATGTGGAATTTTTGTTACTTTCTTCACTGTGTGAACTTAGTATAATCCTGTACACTAGTTAATATATGACAACAAACCAAAACCACACTTTTAATCAAAATACTTTTCCTCTATAGACAGAAATCGCCAAGAGATTGAATACAATCTGTGCACAAGTCATCCCATTTTTGTCTCAGGAAGTAAGTAAAACTGTTCAGCTGTTAAAGTACAATTATGTTGCTTTTCTGTTTGCAAATTAGCTAGTTTTAAAACACAAGTGTAAGGAACATCTGGTGTAGCTGAAGTGTGCAAACCCCCTGCTAATTTGGTCTAACAAATCTGAATTCAAACTAGTGACTGGCTCAGCCTCATTCATTGCCTGAGGAGAGTGGGAGTCTATAAAATATTACCAATGCAACAAAATGCTTTCATTTCTAATCATGGTGATTGCTGATTTGATATTCTGTTGTCAAATGTGAATCTAGTGAAATATGCATGCTTATCTTGTCTACGTAATTTGCATCAAATTTTAGTGTAAAAGGTGAGTAGTTAGCTCAGGTGCGAAACACTGTTTAAGGTTCTGAACCTACATCTGGTCTGAATCACTGCAGTTGTAGTATATTGTGGGCAGCTGCTGTTACATTTTGAAGCCTGTCATTTTGGATATACCTTTTCAAACTCTGTGGTTTACAAAGAGTGTTTGTATTTCTTGTTGAGTTCAGTGAAGCACTTCTTTTCCCTGTTCAGAATTTCAGTAGGTTTTGCTGTGTGGGCACAGAGTATATGAACGTTAAAATTGACACTAGTGTGAAGTTTACATTATCATCCTGTCAGCTCAATTAGAAACTGATTATTAATTTGCCAGAAAATTAATGTTGAAGTGGTATAGGGGAAAAGGTGAACTGGCTGCCTTCAGAGCTCTTGTTTGCTTTTAAACAGGTGAGAAATTGGGCAGTGTTACCTTTTTCCTGTATAAGATGTCTTGCAATAGGTAGCAGGGACTTCTGCAGAGAAACCAGTTATTCAGGTGTTTGTGATCTTGGTTTGATTTGGTGAGGTCAATACCTTAACACAAATTCCTCCCCATACCCCTTCTTCTTTTAATAGCATCAGCAGCAAGTGGCCCAAGCTGTAGAACGTGCCAAACAAGTGACCATGGCTGAACTGAATGCCATCATCGGGGTACGTGGCCTTCCAGGTCTACCTCCTACAGTGTGTATAACTTGCTTTCATATCTTACTGCTTTGCTATTTTTAAAATAGTTTTAATGTTTTGATTGCCCAACATTGCTGAAGTTCTTGCCTTGCTTCACACAGATTTTGGCAGGGATAAAGTTAATATTTTACTTTGTGAGAAAATAATTTTGTGCAGCAAAGCTGTGCCTAACAAAACCTTTCCTGCAAGAAATGTAATGATTAGGGGAGTTGCTTGTTTATTTGTAGGTACTGTATGTCAGTTTGATCTAGTTACCTTTGCCTCATGCTTTTTGTGACACTTGAATTCTTGCAGCCTGTACAACTGTTCATTCTTCTTTCTTTCTCTCCCTTTCTTGTGAATCTTTCATGAATTTTAAATTAGCAAGCTACTGAAAAGAAACTTCACTTGCTTTTGAAGTAGTATTAATTGTCTGACACAGTGTTCTAATAGCCTTTCACCAAGTATGTGCTTCTAAATATGCTGAAATAAGTTAATACCACTTACTTGTGACTGGTTGTCAATCACAAGACATTTGCTTTGTATTAATGAACTTTCTGAACCATACATTCCTTCCACTGCATGAGTTCATTTCCCCGCCACTCAGTCTAGAATATTTCTCATGTTTTCTGTCCTTCCAGACTAAGTGAAAGAAGTAGCCGAAACAAGAACCCGTCCTTTCTGATTTTATTCATATGTGAGCGCCTTGAGCGGATTCAAATTACTCATTTATCAATTTATGTTAATTGCTTGTGAGAAGATGCCCTGCTGGTCTTTATAGTTCGCTCAGACACTTTGTAATGATAATTAGACATGCTGCTGTACGGATTAACAGTGCCATAGTCCAATGACGTCTACAGACAATGGAACCAGTTAATCCATCTGTGCTTAAAATTACATCCCAACTGGAGATGGGAAAAAAAAAATAGGAGTGAGGGAGGATTAAAAGAATGAGCCTCAGCTTGAAAACTCTCCTTTCATCAGTTTCTCAATTGCAGATCTGCAGTTGGTTTGCCTGTGGTAAGCTATTGGCAGTCAATTAGGTGAAATAAACTGGGAGGGTGACCTTCATTTCCTTTTAATAGCTTTTCCTCCCTGAAATGGGGAGCTTCAGTGGATTTTCAGCTTAAATTTTATTCAAGCTGCTTTATTACACTTGACAGATTAGCTTTGCATAAACAGATCCCCCCCCAAATCTGCACTGTTTTTTCCCTTCGTATCAAATTTTGACTGTTACTTAGTTGATTTGCTAATCACATCTTAGAAACCCACACAATTACATCTGTATTTGTCACAATCTCCTCTGTGCTCTTCTTGTGTAATGAATTACTTTATAAATACCTGGTTTGATCTTTGAAATACGGCACATGTATGTTTGTGGTATTTGATTAACAAAGATTAGATTTTATTAACAAAGATTAGATTACAATTTTTAAAATTAATTACTTCTGTAGGATGAAAATGGAATGGACAACTCCTTTTAATGAACTAATTTTAAAGAATATTTTATGCAATAAATGGAAATATGTATTAAAATATACTTTAAAACATTCTTGCTGGACTTAAGATAGTGCTACTTAGCCAAACCAATCATGTCATGTACCTCTTTTTAAAGTCTGCACAATATAGTATTTTAAAAGCAATAGGATCTACAAGTACCACATGCAATTAAGAACTTTTTTTTTTTTTGAGGAGGGGAGGAAGCTCTTCGGAAACAGGAATAGACGCCTCAACCGTTTTTGGTTTTAAATTATCTAAGATTCACCAAAAGAGATGCTTTCCTGTGTCTTCTGAAAGACTTCTGAATGATGTCATACAAATTCAAAACTGTGAATGAGGAGATGGACATGATGAGCACAAAATTTCTTTGATCATGTAGATGCATGCATATACATAATGCTAAAATTAGATGTATATCAGTGATCTTTTGCAGTCTTACATGATCAGTAATTATCTTGTGCTACACAATAAGTTTCATGCTCTGACATATACTTGATTTTGTTTGGAAGGGATGGTGTGCATCCTGGAAAATCTGAATAGCATAAAATTGGGTTGACAATTCAGTAGACCTTTGCTCCCCCTCACTGAACACGCAGCATGTCAAGCCCTCTCCCCAGAGAGGAGAACACATCAGAAGCCTGTCTGTTCCTACAAGCGGCAGCTGCACCGGGAGTGAGCGGGGCCCAGTGTGATAGCAGCTGTCAGTATTGTTCAGGGACCCGACTTAGTGTGAAGAACAATGGAACGGCCATGCTGTTAAAGTGCAGTGTCTTTCAAGATAAGTAAAGAAATAGTAATTTAACGGTTTAGACATTTATTATGAGCATGAAAGATCATGAAACTTCTTTTCAGAATGCAAATAGGCTGGAGCAATCTGTAACGATAGAAGGTGCAATCGAATAGCCTCTGGTGTCATACTGCTGAGAGGCTTATGTACAATGGATTTTGAGGATAGGAGGAAAGTTTAATTTTCCTAGCTGATGTTCACTTGTGTAGTTTCTCTCGATTAGGTAAAATCTGCATTTGTGTCAGGGTTTTACTTTTTTCCCCTTTCTTTCTGTCAGTACAGGCCATTGGTGATTCAAGAGTTTCCCAACTGGCTTGCATGAGTTAAAGCAACTCCTGTTGCTGCTGGGCCATATGTGAATTCTGGAACAAAGCCTTTAATTAGTGGGAATAACTTCTTGCAATACAAGATGATTTTGACCTATCTTTTTTTTACACTTTTTTTTTTTTTTTTTTTTTCATTTCCATTTGAAAAGGTGGAAGCCTATTAGAGGACAGACTGTGAGGACAGGGTTTTTTAGTCTCATGGAACTGAGTTTTTTTTCAGAGAATTCACCTGCAAAGTCAAAAGCCAGGCTTTGGAATTGATGCATATTAAGCACATACAAAACAGAATGAAAAAATTGACACTTTTAAATAATATAGTTGGACTCAGCGAGCTTGTAAGCAGTGCTAATCTTCTGTGTCGATTAAACATTTCTTAATTAAGAACTGTGGATGATATTTGGTTATTAACAGTCATACCTCTAGCCTTATACTTTTCTGGCATGTTCTTGAAGGCTTTAACTTCCAGCCATACACTGGGATTGTAGTGTAGGTAAACAGCCTCCTTGCCAGTTTTTTCAAATGGCACTCTTTAGTATTAGTTAGATTAAAGTTGAATGAAGTAGCCATTTTGCTAGATAAATAGTAAACAAAACAGAAACCACTGACTTAAAAGATAAGTGCATCTGTTAACTCCTTGGTGATGTTGCAGGCAGTATCCATGTTTAGGGTTAAGGGAGAATCCAGATCGTAATATGAAAGAATTGGGTGGATTACAATGGTTTAACTTGAAGGGGTTTGTTTTTTTGTTGTTGTTTTTTATTTGTTTGTTTGTTTGGGTTTTCGGTTTTGTGGTTTGTTTTGTTTTGTTTTTGTCAGAGATATTAAAGTTCATGCTGGGAAGTGAGAAATTTGTTAGATTTACTTTCAGATTAATAAATTAGGTAGTTTTATGCATAGAATACGCAAATACCTGCATGGGAAATACAAGCAGCAAACTGGAATCTTTTTTAGCATTGCATGTTAGATGCACAATTTCAGTGCACCACTGAGTAGTCAGGTATGTCTTGTTTTGCCTTTTGTGGTGGGTTGCTAATGGTTCTGTGAAATATGTACCTTTTGGATTGACAGTACTCTTGAGACAGATTGAGTTGTAGGCCTCTGAGAGGCCTCTCCACTGTTGCATGAGGTGATTGGCTGAAGGATTAGCAAAACGTGGGATTATTTTTTTTTCTCTCTCTTGGCTGTGGTTGCCCGCTATCTCTGGGATTGTAGTGTGTGAAGCTTAAGAGGATGAGGTTAACCTCTTGAGGGTTTATTCTTCTGAGTGTGTAGTTAATCCTTAGAAAGCCTATAAATAACTAGACTGTATGTTTCATCATAAAATATAAATACAGACTAGAGCAGAAATGAATGCAGAACTTAGTGCAAGGGAAGAACTAAGCAGCTGTAGCATTACTTTAGATCCTTCTCAACCGTGATCTGCGTTATATGCTGAGGGAGGGGAAATTGCCTAGCTCTTTTAAATTTAATAAAATGAGATGTAGTGAGCACAAGACACTATTGTCCTCACTTTTAACATAAACTAGCTAACCCCAAGTCAAACTCTGTGACGATAGGAACTGTATTGTGTGGCAAAATTCTGGGTTATTCTTCATAATTTACTTTTTTAAAACACGTAGAAATCTTAATTACATGCTAAGATTCTGTCATGGTGGGTGCTTTTAGAATACACGGGTTCCAGACTTGTAAACTAAGTTTAAAATAGGTAGCAAAGGAAGAAAGTATTTGACAGCATGATAATTGGCATTATCAAAATAGCAGTCTGCAAACAATGGTGAGATTTTTGTTAGTGCCACTACGTTTGGAGGAAAAATAAAGTGTTATTGATGTGTATTGGTAGCTTGTCCTACTCAAAACAGAAAACTCGGGAGAAAGTGTGTAAAATGTGAATGAATGGATAGCATTAACCAAACCTAGTTTCCACTTGATACACACACATGACCACACTTTCTTCTGTTTTACTAATGTCTGATTTACATTCACACTTGAAATGAGACAAGTGGGGAGCTGGAGTAGGTGAAGAATCAGTATCCAGAGATAAAAATGTGATGTGACCTGTAGTGCTCCCCTTGAAAGAAGTCTGATAAAGAGGTTTGGAAGATGAAGGAATTGGATGGGAAGAATGAATTGGTTGGCTCAGACAAAAGAGAAACTCAGCTGAGACTGCACATAAGGTGAAATCAAATGCAAAGAAATTAGTTGAGTAAGGATGAAGAAAAGCATGGTCATGGAGTTGTCCTGCAACATGAGTAGCCACAGAGAAAGGTGCTGGGCATTCACATGTTGAACGATGTAGAACTGTAAGTTGGACTACTTTGCAGTAGGAAGGAGGTGCAAAGAATAAAGTTCCGAAAGGAACTAAGGTCTAGTTTTGA